GACAGCGTGGAGCTGCGGCCAACTTGGCGAGGCACGCCATCTTACAGGTAGGTACAAGCGAGCAGGCCATGTGAATACAAGCAAAACTGTGGCAACGGACGAGTATCACACAAATGTCCATCTCGGACAGATGGATGGAAGTCAAAGTTCGGAGAGATAGTTAATGCGCATCCGATGAGGATGTGCTAATTAGTAACGTGGTTTGTTGGCCAAAGTGAATGAGTAATCACACAGTAGTCATTTGGGAAGGAGCACAAATTCCTAATCACATTATGCAGAGCCTATAGTAAAGAGCCTCCCAAGGTCACACCAGATACAGATGGCTTACTGTATACACGATCGTGCGGAGTTGCCGTCTTATATACATGCCGAATGCACACTGCGATTGTGGGCGGCGTTGATGGGTCAGGACAAATACCGGAGCTGCCGAAGCCCTACCCTCAGCTCGGCACTATTGTTAGGGGTTCTGGTTGATATGATCAACTGTCTTCGATGTTTGATTAGGAAAATGCACAGAAACCCCATCCAGCTCCTACGATCGACGACTACCAGCACAGCGCAATAGGCAAAGATAGGCGAAGCTGCCTGTCCCTTGCTCCAAATCGCGTGCACAAGTATCCCGGGCCTCTAGCGCTCACCGAGTCCGCTTTGGGTTAGCGCGCCAAGGGGCATCTCCATAACATGGCAAATTTGTCGCCAGCCCTTTCTGTTCTCTTCAACGCACCATCAGACAGTTCAGCCACCCATCTCACCAGCATCTTTACGTCTTGTAATCGATGCGACCCGAGTCAATCAATTGGGCGGCTGCGATATAGCGCTGCGGAGAAGGAACACAGGTGCTCCATTAGAGCTGGCTGCGCATTTTTACGGTTGCGCAGGCGGTGTCATAGGAGCCGTACATACTTTGCTTTGCGCATGTGATTTCTGGAGTCTTCGAATGACCATGCTGCAAGAAAGACGTTGCGAAATCAAGCTGAACGATACCTCATCGTGTGCAGGTATTGCCAAACATGAATGCCCATGTCTTGTACGTGTGTACATGCATGATATTTCAAAGCTAGTGCTGCGCTCGTAACTTGGCCAAGGAATAAGATGCAAAACCATGGGCTATATTACTGGCATCGCTAAAGGCTACGCGATTCGGCAAAGACGTGCTGTAAGCAATATGACCAAGGTAGCGACAGTGAGACAACTTCATCAAGCCAGGGCCACCTCGCGTCCTCTCTTCTTCAAAATAACCTGTATGCAATCCACCTTGGCCATACCATCCTTGCCTTTCATCTCTTGTTCCATGTCCTTGGCCTCCCACACATGCTCAATATCCCGCATCACTCTCCGCAAGCTTGGGAAGCGCTTGACTGCATACATCTCCTCAAATCGATCTCGCACAAACTGTCGTTGTTTGCTATCGATTGCCTCACATCCGGCGGTAAAGAGCGGCCATATGTGTGACGTAGTCAGAGGCGAGTGAACATCGATTTGTCGCAAGTAGGCCAGACATTGATTAATGTGATCCATACTGATGGGATTTGGGGCGCCGATATCGAGCCAGGTCCGGTAGAGGTAGATGAAAGCTGCGTGGCGGTATGCTTCAGCTGTCAGCTTGATGTCTGCGCTTTCCTGAACATTTTCCTGCTTGCAAACGGTAAAATCCATAGCCAGTAACTTCTGCTGAATATGCCTGCCGGTTGTGTTTTCGTTTTCCGATAGAGCTGGACTTGTTGGCGACAGTGACCTTCTCGTCTTGATGGTATGCTGCAACTGACTAATCTGGGCAACTACTAAGAGGACGTTTGCAATGCTTGCTAGCCTCTCCTCCCCTTCGATAGCAGAAAAGTCTGTCTCGTGATCTAGCAAGGGATTTGATCCTCTCGAAACGGATGATAAGATGTCGTGGTATGCAAAGATGCTCATCAGAAAGCGCGCGCGCGAGCTACCCAGCCAATTCTCCCCTTGACTCCTAACTATCATCGCCTTTGCACCAGTCAAATGATTCGCAACACATTCCTCATCGTCTTCGCCAAAAAGCCGCGCAGATACCTGCATCATCATAACAGTCGCCAGCGCTGGCTCAGCATTCATTTCAGATGGATCCTGGATCATGCGTTGGAGTTCATGTATAGCGTCTCGTTGGTGACGGTACCTCTGGAAATACAGAAACGGATCTTTTAAAGATGTTGCAAGATGGTTCGCGGCCATGGAGAGGATCGTGGATCTGAGCGCAGCAGATTCGCATGCCATGGCCGTGAGGTGTCGCTGAAAGGGAGTCGAAATGCCCATATTGGGAGCCACTGATATGAGGGTGGAAAGTCGATCTACCCAATAATCGAGAAGCCATCTATCATCTGGCGATAGACCATATGATAATCCGGGGCTGTTGAGTGGGAATAGAGGCAAGCTTTTCGTCGACCCCGGCGACGAGAGCGTGTTCTCAGGGGTAGAAACGATTAAAGGCATGGATGAAAAGCTGTTGACTGAGGCTGGGCTCAAGGCAAAATCTTGCTCAAGAGCTTTCTTCTTCCGACTCTTTCGTGGTTTTGTGAGAGTGCTGACAGCACCCTCCTGCCACTTCAACCTGACCCCATAACCTTTGCATGTAATCTTCAGCCTCATACAGCGCCCACAGAATGGCTTCTGCTCGTCGCATTTGTACCCGGCCTCCCTGCACGTCCAGCATCCGGTCCGGGTTCTCTTGTGTGTTGCCATGTTGGTGAGTGGTACATGTTCACTTTGTCGCTACATTTTCTGGTCCCCGTCTGTGAACACGCAACTTATAGCATGTTCTTGAGCTTCCGAAAGGCTGTGCTGATGTTCAATGATTGGGTAGCAGATGTGGTAGTTGAACCAATCTGGGCGGTTGCGCAAGATGGGAGGTGGAGAGTGGCAAACCACACTAATGCTAGCTCCCGCCCAGATCCTTGAGGCCGAGGCTCGCTATGCAGCCCTACGTAGATGGACTTGATATTTGTATTGTATTGTACATATGTAACAGCATTTCCTCTCTTCCTGCAATCTTTCATCGCATCCTATAACAAAAAATTCGTCGTTGGCAAGCACTAAGAAGGAAATACAGACAGGCTTCGAATGACGTATGACTATAGCTTCGCAGCATCCTTCCATACCAACCCACCCTGCTCCTCGACGTAGTGCCTTCCCTTGGTCCATCCCATCCACGTGCTCAATGTATCTTCTCCTCCACTTCCTGGCTTTAGCCCCTTCTCACTCCACCCACTACCCTTCCAACCGATACCCTGACCCTCGGCCGCAGTTCTCTCATCATTGCCTTCGTGGATCGCATAGCCAGGCGAAGTCTTTAACGTAACAGCAGGTCGCTGGTCGAATCCCTGTTCCTCCAGCTCTGATTGGGTCAAGACGGGTGTGCAGCACGCGTCTGTACCATCGAATATAGCCTCCCACTCGGCACGCGTCTTTTTCTTGAATTCTGCCGTGAAAAAGTCCTTCAACTTGGGCCAATCGGCCATGTTATCCCTGCTTCCAGGTAGATCCGATGCTTTAAGCCCCATGCCCTTTAGCAGCGCAGCATAGAACTGCGGTTCAATCGCTCCGACAGCCATATAGCGCCCATCCTTGGTCTCATAGGTATCGTAGAAAGGCGCACCACCATCCAGCATATTGGTACCACGCTCGCGTTTCCACACCTCTGTCTTCAAGCCCAATCGAGGCATAGTTGCAAGTATAGCACTTCCATCCACCATGTTCGCTTCCACAACCTGTCCAAAGCCACTACGCTCACGCGCCAGAAGCGCAAGCAGTATGCCGACAAAACACATCGCGCCTCCTCCGGCGAAATCGCCAACCACATTGCCTGGCGGATACGGTTTCTCGCCCTTTCGGCCAAACATGCTCAACACTCCCGATACAGCAATGTAGTTGATGTCGTGGCCCGCCATTTGCGCGTACTTTCCGTCTCTCCTGAAGCCCGTCATACGCGCAATGATGAGTCGCTTATTCAGTTTCAACAGCACTTTTTCCGGATCCAGGCCCGCTTTTTCGAGCACACCGGGACGAAAGGGATCAATAAGGATATCTACTCGTGGTATAATTTTCTTGATGAGTGCGAGGCCGGCGGGTGACTTGAGGTTGACGCATATCGACGTCTTGCGGCGCGTGAGCTGGTCAGTGGTCGGAGTACCGGGTGCGCGGTCGAGACGGAGGACGGATGCACCATAGTCGGCCAGGAGCATGCCAGCAAAAGGCCCTGTATGAGATGAGCTCCAGGTCCGTAAAGAATCGCAAAGTAGAGAATATCGGGCTTACCGGGAGCCAGGCCCGCGAACTCGAGAACGCGTATGTTGGAGAGTGGAGGCGGTTGGGGCGCAGTCATGGTGAATTAATTACGCAAGTCACTCTGCTGCTAGCTTTTGATATACTTCAAGTAGTTATCTGGAAGTAAGCGCAAAAATATATCGGGTTTGTACATGCTCGACGTCGACATTGTCGATGGAATGCGCCGGTTAATCACTCCCGCGGGGAAGATGCCGAGGTGCAGCTATGGAGTGCTTGAGCTGGGGTAACAGTATTTAGCGCCATTCCGCCTCGTAGCATGTAGCCGACTTATCTTCCTTCCAACCAAGACCTCCATCCTTCACTCCTATATCTTCTCCATGAATAACCTCGGGAAAATGAAATCTCGAATCAAATTTCAAGCTTGGGAGCCTCTACAAACCAGCTTCCCTCATGATCTCATGCTGCCGGTGCCTTCTCCAGGCATCATCATGGAGCGTTCACTTCGTAACGTCCCCGTGGACCTAGTATCAGCTGTGATACACTGAATTCACTGCAAATAATGAAGAGCCATAAAATAGGAAGTCATAACTCAATCGCGTGCCCCCTCTTTCCTTCACTCATGACCTTCCTGTCCTAGTTCAACAGCAAACGACACCGTCAGTTCTCGCTCTAGCCAATGTAAATGGCTGCCTTCTTCTATCTTGCCTTCTCAAATGCACAATCTTTCTTCTAAGAAGCCCAAAGACACCCCCATGTCGGTCAATTCCCCACCCGTCTACACCATCGACCTCTCCCTGCCTCCACGCTCACGCTACAAAGCCGTTACAAGAGACTATGCCCCAATCCTGCACCAGCTAACCAGCCTCTACACCGAATTAGTCGCACACCTCAAGTTACCCCCTTTTTTCTTCCATTTCCTCGGCCGCTTACTGCTCCGCCGACTCGCTAGCAATGAGCAGACCGAGGAGCTACGCGGAATTAGCGAAGAATGCGGCGTACCCATGTACCTACTGGTGGCCTACAATGTATTTCTAGACTTGCTCCTAGGCTGTACGAGTGGCGGCATGCTAGCCAAAAAACCTGAGCAATTAGACGAAGAAGAACGAGGAGAAGGCGAAGAAGAAGTGACAATGATGCACTTCCGCACACTAGACTGATCCATGCCCATACTCCGAGACGTCATTGTGCAATTCAACTACATCAATTCGCTGCAGGGAGAAGTCATAGCGCGGACAGTAGGCTACGTAGGTTTCGTCGGCGTCCTAACAGGCGTACGCAAAGGCCTCAGCGTTTCGCTCAACTTTCGTCCTTACCACAATACATCAGGCCTATCCCTCGAGAACGCGCGATACTACGGGAACACACTGCTCGTCCTCCTAGGTCGACGCCCAAGTATCACAACCGTAATCCGCGACTTCCTACTCCCCAGACCCATCGAAACGCCGCGAGTCCGCAGAAAGCTCTCCAAAAAACGAGGCCGAAGCGCACGCAAACAGCAAGACCTCGAAGAAGAAGACGAGAAAGAGAAATTAGTACCACTACACCTCCCACCCTACACCCCAGAAGCAATAACCTCCCTCCTCCCCACCCTCCGCACACCAGTCGCCTACCTAATCTTCTGCACCCCCTCCGAAACCCTCCTCTTAGAAAAAGACTTTCGAACCGCCAACACCCTCCGCTCCCCAACCTTCCTTGCCACCACAAACCACGACATCGCCCTCGAACCCGCTTCTCCCTCCCAACCCCCCACTACTTCCTCACCCGTCCAACCCCGCATCCACGCTTTTCTCCAGGCAAGCATTTTCCTGCAAGCAAGCGTACAGGATATCCTGGATGACAGTATTTACCGTAAAGAATGCTTGACGCTGGCGTGGCTGGCGTGGCGGCGGCGGCGACGACGACGACGACAGCAGGAGCGGCAAGAGCAGCGTCAGGAAGAGGACTGTGGGGCGCAGGAGCAGTCGGAAATAGTAGGAGTTCCGTTAAGTACGCTGGAGAGGTGGGTAGAAAGGTACCCAGTGAGCAATGCAACTACGCATTTTGCGTGTATTATGGATCCGGGGGCGGGCGTATTTCAGTGGATTAGAAAGTTTGAAGTGGGAGAGATTGTGGAGCCGGTTGTGATGGGAGAGGAAGAGTCTCAGTAGATTATGGAGAGAGAGAGAGGAGCATATTCTGATTTGTATAATGTAGAAAGATGGGGGGATATCCGTGCGTTTAACAAGTCATGCTTCACGGATCAATACAAAAGGATAGAAATAAATGAACGTTGCCATAAACATAACATTTCTATTCCTACAACCCATATAACATCATCTACGCCCTCGCCTTCCTCGCCTTGGGCTTCGCAACCTTCTTACCCGCACTCCTCAACCTCTTCCTCTCCACATTCGCCTTAATCCTCAAACTGCGCTTTCGCCACGCCGTCCACCGATCTCCAGGCACAAACTCCTTAACCTGCACCCCGGCCCTCTCGGCCGCACGTCCAATCACCCAATTAGCCTCGCGGTACGCATATCCCTTTCCAGACCGCAGACTCAATTCTTTCTTGCCGGCTTCCCTCGGTACCTCAGTTTCCGCTGCTACAGCAGTTGCTTCGGGCGTAGATGTTACAGGTACGGGCTTGAAGTTTAGGCGTCGCCTCCGAGCGGCGTTGGCTGGGTAGGGAAGCGTGTGGTCTTTCTCGAGGGCAACGCCGATGTATTGGCGTTTAGGGTGCAGTCTGGGATCGCGGTAGTACCGTACGTAGCCGGATTCTGTGGCGAAGATGCAGTGGTCGCGGCCGAATTTGCAGTTTTCACCCGGGAACCATGAGGTGCCGCGTTGGCGGAAGATGATGTTGCCTGGGATTACGTATTCGCCTTTTTGCCTTTTGTTAGCAATTTGTTGTACTTCTCTTGTCCTTTCTTTGTGGTTGTTCTTTTTCTGGAGATTGTGTAATCAAGACGTACCTCCACTCTTCTTTGCGCCCAATCGTTTTCCCGGTCCATCTTTTGCGCCGTTGGCTCGGCCTTGGGCTTGATGTGCCGAGTGTCGTACAAATGAGAGGGCTGGGGTGGGTGCAGCAGAGCCATTGGCTACGCGGAGGGCATCGAGAACACGGGTAGAGGGTGCGATGAAGGCCGTAGATGTCGCTATCGATGCGCGGACGGGCGCGAATATCCGTGGGAGCAGCATGGCCGCTCTGTTGCTGGAGAGGGCGGGCATTCGAGGTTGCAACTGCGACTTTTCGAGATATCCGCGTGGTCCGTGCGCCAACTCCGCAAGTCGCTGGTCAATGAACAATCTCAAGCCCTTGCGATCATCTCGCTGCTACTACTCTTCCAAGATCAATTGATAGCCGTTCTGGTCGCTTATGAATCTTGGCGCATCACTATATCAACAAGCTCTGTTTTCTAACGTAAAGCATACAATACCAAACCGTCGTTTCAATTAATTCATGCCAATGTAGCGTACACATCTCATCCATCACCTGTGAAATGGGCCCTCGTAACAAAAATCTAGTATGCTAGCACCCAAAACACCTTGCAGAGAATGCCGACCCATAGAACATAAGCGTTTAGCACCATTACCCGCTACCCAGACATTTACTGTACTTGGTTGACAATCTCTTGCGCCTTGGTCAGACTCTCCACCATCTGCAGGCAGTCCTTCCTCCTCTTGACCGTGTACTCGGATTCCTTCAGCAACTCGTCCAGCTCGTCCGTCTTGTACATGTTGGTGAGGAGCTCGCCCTGCATGTTCTCCTTGGTCCACTGTACGAGATTCAACATGATAGCCTTGGGTACCATGTCAATCATTGTCCGGCGGACAATGTTGAAGTAGGATGTGATCAGTAGTTCTGCAAATGGTTAGCAAGCCGGCATTGAAAAACACATTAGTCATGACTTACTAATAACCTCAACCTCCTGAGACTCCTTCTCCGAGAGGGTACCGGAGGCCTTGAGCGTAGGTGGCGGAGGCTCCATGGCAGCCATCTTCTTCTTGTTCTTGCTAGCAAAGAATGAGCCGAAGAAGCCACCTTCTCCGGAGTCAAGTGTAGGAGAGATAGATCGCGGTGGTACGGAAGGCGGCAGTGGCTTTCCGGTCTTAGGATCAACTTGTTGGGGCTTGTTGCTGTTGTGTCGTTCGTGTACAATGGCCATGGCGCGCGAACCGTTGATGAAGTCTGGGTGACCAGTGTTGATGTAAACCGACTCCATGGCGACAAGGTCCTTGACAAGCTTGTTGGTCGGCTCCATTGCCTTCTTGAAGAAACTGACAACAACTTGGTGCAGCTTTTCCTTGAGCGCAGGATACCTTCGGAAAGCATTCTTGTTGAGCAGCTGACCAAGGATGCGGATCAACTCGTCGTAGACGAGACTGACACACTTCAAGCTGGGGTCTTCGAGTCGCTTGATCTGTTGCTTGACAATAAGCTCGAAAGCCGTAGTGCCGACGAACAGCGCAGGAGATGAACCAGAAGAGTTGTACAGAACTGTTCGGATGTCCATGTCCTTGACCTGGTCAAAGGGATCGACAGCCTTGACACCGTTGGCGTACAGCTCGTGGTAAACGAACGAAATACGAGCACCACCGGACAGCTCGACTGCGGATAGTTCCTGGTTGTTTCCTTCAAGCACTCCACGGTATTCATTGGTAAACTCCGTGATCATGTTAAGAACAATGTTGGAGCTGTTGCCCAGCATGGAGTTACCAAGTGATGAAAGCTCAGCCTGATACTTTTGCAGCGAAGACGAGATGCGCGCTTTGATGTCGGGGAGAGTTTGCTTGATGTGCATCATGAGAATCTATGGTTGTTAGCTCATTGTTGTGTATGTAAAAGCGCAATAACTCACCAAGTTCAGCTTGCGGGCCAGGTAAGGTGTACCGCAGTAGGCTGCCTTGTTACGGTATGCCTTGTGGTTTTCGAAGTACTGCCTCTCATGCTCGAGCGCATAGGAGATCGCCTTCTTATTCTCGATATCCCTCTGACCTCTGTTCACGACAGGAACGTAACCCAATCGCAGCGGGATAATGCGTCCAGCGAGAATATCCACAACGTCGGTTCCCTCGTCCATCAAGTCTACCTTGGTCAAAACACCAATTGTCCGTTGTCCTTCTGGGTCGACCTCGCGCGCGAGCTTTAGACCGTCCGAGTTGGCCAAATCGGTGTTGGCGGCGGTGACAGCAAGAATGATAGCATTGGGCTTGCTGATCTGCTTGAGAACCATCTCACGAATTTGTCGCTCGATATCCCTAGGTTGATCTCCAACAGGCACCTTGGTCAGACCGGGCAAGTCGACGAGCGTAAGGGTGAGGACATTTGGTGAGTATATCCTCAGGTTGATGGGCGCTGGCGAAATTCCTGCATTGCGACCAGTCTTTTGCTCCGTCTCCCTTACAATCTCATCTCGTATCTTGCTAAAGTCATGGAACTTTTGGCCGGGAATGTGCAGAAACTCGCCCCATTCGTCGACATTGTTCTCTTGGTCTGTAGTCTTTGCCCCCTCGCCAGTGCCGTTGGCTTGTGAACTGGATGCGCGGTTGATGAGTTGGAGAATGAGCGGCCTTCGGGTGACGATACCGGTTCCTCGGGGCAAACTACAGGGCTGTCGTCAGCATGCCATCGCCAAAGCGGTGTCGCAAATTGCAAGCACTCACAAGTCTCGTCCGACAATGTTTTCAAGCACCGAACTCTTTCCGCTAGACTGCGATCCTACGACTGCGATTTGGGGCAAATCTATGGGGTTTTGGACCTGAGTCAGGCATTAGTCTACGTGTTGCGAAATGGAGTGCTGAGGGAGGTAAGGGGTAGTAACGTACTCCGACGGTGGTGAATACATCCTGGAGCTTGTTGACGAGTGTAATCAGCCCCGGATCGTTTACGTTGATACTGTTGGAATGTTAGTTCTCCTTGTTGCGAGGGGCTGCCCAAAACATGAATGTGCCTACGCATTAGGGTTTGCCGCCATGGTCGGCGATTTGTGGATTGTGTTTTTCAGGCGTCTCTTATAGGCGCTTCAAGAAGGATGGATGCTTAGGGTTTAAGCAGAAGGGCGGGTGTTGTGTAGAGTATGCGAAACGGAGGTGTATGAGATCTGGGGGTTCTTGATTGCAGGTTGCGTAGCTGCTACAGGTTGTAACGTTTGGGAGCCCGAGCTTCGATACGCTGAGTACGCCACACAGCTCAGCCACACTACTCGGCTTCCAAACCCCCAACAGAAGACGCAGATTGATACCAGCAGCTTCTAGCACCAATAGTGGCAGTACGCCACAAGCCATATATTTTTCTGCCAATGATACTTTTGTAACAGGCATTATTAACACACTGCCCTGGGTTTGCAATGGGTTTGCGACAGCCAGTCTTTTTTGCGACACACGTCACTAGTCATATGACTGATATCAAGTGCCCTCGACCGCCTTGGTGACAACGCACCCACACATCCATCCCTCACCTGTGTGGCAAATATCCCTTTGCGACCAGGTGATAGGCAGCGCCATCACAGGACGCGAAGCAGCGTCGTCATCAGATCAGGCACCCGTCCCATCGTCCCCGGCCCAAACCCAAATACGGCTGCCTAATAGAAACTATAGTAGCACGGCCTTTTTACCCAACTTTACAAAAGAAGTAGGCTTGACTTGATACATAGACACAGTATGTTCCTGACTGGATGACATGCAGTGCAGCCAATGCGTCTGTTAGAAACCTTTCATATCATCTCATTTTCACACCACATCGGTCTAGTGTACACATCTCAACGAACATAGAATATATATTGTACTCAGTTGCCGCGATTATCAACCAACAAAAAGACTGTCGCCTCCGGTCACATGTATCTACTCGTCAACCACAGATGCAAACTTCTCGGTCATCTTCTGTAGCAGCTGTTCGTACTTCTTCGTGACCGCCTCCTCGCCATCGCTGGGCAGCTCGAACTTCATCGAGCGAAGCTGTGACTGAATGTCCGAAGTGGCGTCTCGGATCTTGGGCCATGAATGTCCTTGAGATACTGCCTTCTGCGCCTCGTCGTGGAAAGCCATCATGTTCTTCATCATCCACTCCGTCTTCCACAGCGGGCAGAACTGGTCATAGTCCGAGTATCCGTTTTGCTGCAAGAAATCCTCCTTGAGTAGCGTAGCCACATCGAGAGTGATCTTGTCGCTGTCACCGAGTGCAGACTTACCCACAAGCTGCACGACTTGGTCGAGATCGTCGGATGTCGTCAGAAGCTCCTTGATGCGGTCACGCAGCCGTGGGAAATCGGGGTTGTTCTTCGCATAAAACTTGTCCAGAGGTGTGGTGTACTTGCTGTAACTGATCGAAGTGTTGACCGATGGGAAATGCTTTCGCTGAGCCAGCTTCTTGTCCAAACCCCAAAAGACTTGCACAATGTTCAGTGTACTCGTAGTCACGGGATCAGAGAAATCGCCTCCTGGCGGGCTGACGGCACCGACGATTGAAACACTGCCGTATCGCTCGGGGCTACCCAGAGCCTCAACACGTCCAGCACGCTCGTAGAAAGACGCAAGCTTAGCACCCAGGTAGGCAGGGAAACCTTGGTCAGCAGGCATTTCTCCGAGACGACCGGAAATTTCTCGAAGAGCTTCTGCCCATCGGGACGATGAGTCTGCCATCATCGCGACATCTTTACCTTGATCGCGGAAGTATTCGGCCACAGTAACTGTATCATCTTGTTAGTTACCTGGTCTTAGTACGTAGAACAAGCAGTGAGTACTTACTACCAGTGTAAATTGAAGCTTCACGGGCAGCCACAGGCATGTTAGAGGTGTTCGCAATAAGAGTGGTACGCTTCATGATGGGTTCTTGCTTGCCGTCGACAGTGATGGTGAGCTCTGGGAAATCCATCAAGACTTCAGCCATCTCGTTTCCGCGCTCGCCACAACCAACGTATACAATAATGTCACTGTTGGAGAACTTGGACAGAGACTGGGAAATGACAGTCTTGCCGCATCCAAAGGCACCGGGAATGCACACAGTTCCACCCTGAACACTGGGGAACAGGGAGTCGAGCACACGCTGGCCGACAATGAGCGGCTGGTCCGAGGACATCTTCTCGTTGGAGGGGCGGGGCACTCGGACGGGCCACTTGTGCATCATGCTGTACTCAGTCTTGGTGCCATTGAAGTCCAGCTCCAAAATCTTCTCATCAACAGTGTAGCTGCCCTTCTCGGCGATGCGAGTAATGGTGCCCTTTGCGCGGGGAGGCAGGAGGATCTTATGCTCGCTAAGAAGACTGTTCTCGAAGACGGTACCAAAGACATCACCACCAGTGATGTGGTCGCCGACCTTGAGCGATCCTGGCGTGAAGTCCCACTTCTTCTTGCGGTCGAGAGCGGGCAGATCAATACCGCGGGGAATGTAGATGCTCTTTGCGTCGTCGGCAATGCCCTTGAGGGGACGCTGAATACCGTCGTAGATGGTCTCCATAAGACCAGGGCCGAGCTCGACAGACAGCGGCTGTCCGGTACGGTAGACGGGGTCGCCGACGGTCACACCAGCTGCGAAACATTAGCCAAGATTTCACACCAAGCTTGATATGTCGGCGGAGGGCGTACCAGTCTCTTCGTAGACTTGAATTGTGGCCTTGTCGTTTTCGATTCGAATGACCTCACCCACAAGGTTGTCGTAACCAACACGGACCTGCGACCGTCAGTAACGGTCCCATCAGATATGGATATGGCGCACATACAAGCTCGTACATGGCACATCCAATCATGTTCTCGGCGATGATGACGGGACTGAATGGGTAAGTATATGTCCGGAGCACTGCCTAATATAAACGTACCCGGAGATGGAGAAGATGGCGCCTGTCCGGAGTCAGCGGATTGTTTGTCGCAGCATTGCTGAAGCTTACCATGTTCCTGGCCGCCCTCCGACTTCTGGTCCTGCTTCTTCTGCGCCATATAGTCAGTTGCCTGTACGAGAGTCCAAATGCATCTAATTGCTTACGGGAGGCATCGTGTATATCTATATGTCCCACTCGCTGTCGTTGGCTTGTAGGTGGTATTGTTGCAGCCTCACGATGCGATGATGATTGCAGTAGTTGGAGGTTGAGCTTGGACCATGCGCTAACTCTTGGTGGGGACCTTCCTTGTCATCTGCCACCAGCCAACCGCGCTCCGTCACCGTTACTATTTGTCCCGCTACTACTGCTTTTACTAGGAATTTACAGCGAACTTCTTTATTTTTTAATACAGGATATAAACAGCAATTCCAATCGGCTCAGTTGTGCATCAGACATCATTGAAGTTCTAAGACATGTACGGTGCACAATCATCTTCGCAGAGCTATTCATCTACGTCATCGGCGAAACCGCATTCAGAGCTGCTCCGGTAAGCTGCAGTTGATAATTATCAGTACACTGCATGCCGCCCACGTCTCCCCAGCCTTTTCCAGTATGACATGTTATTCTGAAGACCCATTCATCTCAACCAAGGTGTCGTTCCGCTCGCGACACTCCCTTTTCTCTGTTGCGTCCGCAATACTGGTTCGCAGCATGTGTGTGCTTGTTAAAGCCCTCGAAGCCCGCCCATCCTCTGCCGCAGACAGGGGCTGCTCGGAAATGATACATGGTATAAAGCGTGCAAGCAAAGGTTTCATCACGAGCAGCGATGCACAGATGATTGCAACATTGATCTCGATGGACGAGAAGACGATTGCAAAAGTGCCGCACCCTGCATTTGTTCAGGTTGATGTTGGATCAGAATGGCCTGCGGTAACTTACTTGTAACTTGCCCATTGACCATGGCATAGCGGACAAGAGCAAGGCGTAGAATTGTTATGATGCACACACTGTGTTATGTGTCAGTGTCTAAACACTCGCTCGATGTCATCAAGATACGCACAATCCGCCCAATCCAAATACGACCAATAGACCAGTCTTTTGCCGCTTCGGAAGACTTAGTCGGCCGACGACTGGAAGAGGCAACGTCCAAACTGCGACATCGACTACAATACCAATGATGCTGGTTGACCAAAAGTGCCGCTCCTTGTTCATGCAGACTCCAGATATTGTGACATCCCAGTAACTTCTAATTGGGCGGCAAAGGAAAATGTTACCCAACGCGCCCCAGGCTGTAGCGCTGAATACAAGGATGAGAAGAATGTAGCAACTCCACAAAACGTGTGGGACAAGCGAAAAGAGGCGAATGTATTGTAGTATGAGGGACGCTTTGACAAGATTGCTCGCTAGATGATAGAGAATGGCTTGAGCCAACACGAGCTTCATGCAGTTAGCCTAGTACATTCACACATCCAGGCATCTTACTTTGAGCATAGCAGGTAGCAATGCGGGGTATGTGGCGTCTTCTCCAAGATCTGCAATGTCGATGCTAACCTCTATACCTCAGTTAGCTACCCCATCAAACCTCAATCGACTCTAGCGAACGCGTGCCTTGCCCAATGACTGCCGTGAAGCCTATCGACAGCAGCTACGATGGTTAGGGTTATTTTTTGGTGATATCAACAGACACACTTACCAGAGCAGCTGTGATGAAGTAGTCCTCTAATCCGATTCTACTTGGATTCGAACAAGTTCGGCTGCATAACCGCAGAATGACCATTACTAAAGCGAGGGCGGTGAAGATGACTGTAGGAACGAGGGCGTCATAGCCGATGTCTGCGGTTGCTTTCGATCTGATAACAAACCAGCTTGGTGATTGCACATGCGTCATGACGGGTTCAGGTGATGTAGATGGGGCGTATAGCAGCCGTGAAGCATTTGCAAAGCGATAGAGTGGCTCCGGATGTGAAGGTGTGCTGCAAGCCATTACAAGTCTATCCTTATGGCGGCATGTACATGTGGTCTAGGCTGATCTTTGTGCCTCGGGAGAGTATCGTGATAGTGGTTGGCATGATGATGCAGAGCCACTGAGGCCAGCATTTTCCGATCTTGTTCTTGAAGCAAGTCAACGCCCACGATTCGGTATGCGATGCTGAAGCAAGTGACTATTTGGTACGCATATCGGCTTTTCAAACCGAGACATCTCTTTGAAGATTAAATGATTTATTCGAGGAGGTTGGACTGCTGCTCCGGAATATAGCGAAGCCCATGCGCTGGTACACACGTGCCCATAGTATGGTTCAGAGCGGGGTTATCACCTGCGGGCTAAGACCTTCCGGTCTGTACCTGTGTATAGCCATACGACTTTCCCGGAATATGTTTCTCTTGGAGGCCAATGATATTTCATAGAAGAGTAATGCTAAGAAAAAGATCCAGATGTTGTTCTCGAATTGTGTTGGGGCAACTGCGTGTGGAGAGCAGTGGAAGCCACTCGGAGAATACCTCTAAGCGACGCGCCACTACATGCTACTTTGACGCATTAGCAGTAGAGTGACGTACGAGACAGGCACATGTGAGGACAATCTGCATAATGTGCCTCTACCTACAGGACCTCTCGAACAAAGGGCAATATTTACCGACTTGAGCAAGCCGATTATTTGCCAGGTGTCTGTATGTTAGCAACAGGATAATACGAGTTTCCTGGTTGTTTCCAGCTCTGACAGGAGGCATTTGTTGGCAGAGACCATAATAAGCCCGGTGTCATCTCTTGGGATGCAAGGGTGATTCGGCGACACAAGACATGAAGTTGTCAGCGTGAACATGGATATTGCATGGAATTTGCCTTACTGGCGACTAGTGGGAGCCAAACAACTCAGAATAGTGTAAATGCAATGCCGACGTGGCAGGTCCATGTGAGCACCATCTGGGCAGAGACTGCGCATCCTAGTGAGATGTTGATGAGATGGTATCATCATGAGGGAGCCAAGCAGCCAAGGCAAAAGCTGAACAGTTAAGAACTAGGGTGCATGTTCAAGTGGGCTGGTGTGCAGCTGCACCGGAATTTGTCACCATTCTAGGAAGCGGTGTGGTTGAAACGCATTACGCCGGGCGCCTGGCCAATGTTCCCCAATTAATACAGAGTAGGCGAACAGCAGGTGTGGCGGAGGGTAGTCGCGCGATACCGTATGTATGTACTCACGTACTCTACATGCTATACGCTTGTGCTTGTTTGGTCAGATGTGGAAGGTTTTGACGAGCATCCCGGGCCAGCTAGGGCTTACGCAGTAGCCTCCTAGTGATAACAAGTAGCATCCGGGCTGACAGGGGTTGGGGCGCAAAGATCGTTACAGTGTGCTCTGATGGCGTAACATCAGCATGCGTGGGGGACGCCGAATACGAGGGCGTTCACGAATGTGCGTTGAGGACAAAGGTGTCGGGTACGGATTAAGCTTTTCGCAGGTGTTCAAACACATGTGTGGGATTCGAGGGAGAGCCACTGCAGTGGTGTTTGGACAGGGTAGGCCGAGCACGCTAGGCGCCGTTAGCGCCGATTACGCATATGGCGATTTGGAATCAGACCGTACCGAGCGTATGGTAAGCGTGGTCATCTCTGCTCGGGTACTCGATTGGGCCTTGTCCCGTAATCTAGTATTTGTCAAGTATGCAAATCCATTTCCCGACCTCACGGCCGCTGGGTCACGCCTACCTACTGCCGCTGTGCCGTTGCATACTCATTGGCGGGTTCCTATCGCCCGACGCCTTGCATGCTTCTGCGGGTCCGCATAGGTCTATGTACTCTAGGTCTGTGTAGGCTGTCATTTTGTTCGTCTTATTCGCCATGCGCGCATGTACTGTTGTTTTGCCACTCTAGTGAGAGTCTCAAACACGTAATTTGACGGGGCCGTTGCTCGGTAGGCCTGGATCGTCATTTCGGGACATGTTTCGGAGAACTTGGCCCGCACGTATCACGGAGTATTTCTTCCATATGCATGGATAGGAATTGTGCTGTGACAAATCGACAAGAGCCATATATCTATCCGTGGAGCACCACTTTTTTTTGGCGGCAGTAAGTAGTGTCGTTGACCTTGAGATCCAAGTCTTGATACCATTTCCATCCTTTCACAACACCAATGGCTCCAGTCTCTCTTCACCAGTCGTCACACCCATTCCTGACACCTGCGCGCGCATCGGATATATCGTCATGGACACGATCAGTACCCGAACGGAGCTCGAGCTCGTCCACTGAGTCTATTACCGACGCTCAGTCACGCCAAGCTGCCATCGAAGCCTATCGACAGATGAAAGCTGCCCTCTTCTCGAGGTCTCTCCATCCAAACCTTTCCCGGTCTACCTGAGCATTTTTCACACTGCCACGACACTGCAACAGCACTGTTCTGGCATATTGCCACATCACGATTTACGAAACACTCTCCACCAAGACGACCCATTATGAACCAACGTCGTCCTCAGAATTGCCCATCACTAGAGTTTTGATTGGTTAAACTCTCAACAATACCCCGATGACCTGGCGTGGAGTTATAATTAGGGCTGTCATAGCTGCCTTTTAGGGCGTTTGTGGAAATGAAGTGACTAAGCCTTATGGCCGGTGTTTGGAGTACAGATAACTACTATGTAATTAGATCAGGTTTTGTTTTTAAGTATTTGGGTTCCTGGACAATGAAAAGCGAGATGGCGCGCCACAGCGTCTGGTACTATACTTTAATTATCCCTTAATGTAGACATCTTTGTTTCCCGTACCACTGACGTAGGCCTGTTCACGTGAGAGGCATCTGAGTGCAACATGTTCTTGGATATGATTTCTTTTATTTCAGACCCCGGACCTAATCTAATAGTCAGATGAAATCCGTATATGCAGTACGTAAGTCATAACCAAAAGCTGACCGTGCTCATAATCAGGTTGAACTCAGCTATCGTCCCTGCCCGGTTGCATCATTTCCGCACCCGCTGCCCGCTTATCGATATGGGCGGGTCCGTGCACCAAAAGTTGATTCAACGCGACTTTGCGAAAACACGATCCGACTACCTTCACTGCAACCACATTCCAACTCGTCCACTCGCTTGCGATACCATAGTTTTTACCTTTGAAAATGTCGGGAAACACACCCAAAACCATGTCCAAAGGACTTATGGGCATGAAGGCAAGTTGCTGCGTCTTCACGTGCTCACGGCATTTGCTAACCCATGCATAGTTCATGCAGCGTGCTGCAGCAAAGTCTTCGCCTTCGTCGCCGGCTACCTCCAATGGGCCTCCTACTAAGAAGGCGCGTCTGTCACATGGCGCATCCGTCGTGGGAACTTCAGATCAAGAGATTATACAATCAGGGCTCGATGCCGAAGAAGCAAAACGTCAGGCGGCACTTGACAAGGCGGCGCAATACGCGGGTGAAACCAAGTGGGTACTGAGCTTTCAAGATCCTCTTAAGGGGAAGCGACAAGATGCTATGCAGGTCAGGCACGCGGGGTATGCGGAAATTGATGCGCAAGACGATTCAGAGGAGGACGAAGAGGACACCAGACCTGTGAGAATGCAGTTTGGTGGTGGTGTCAAAAAGGCAGACGTGCGTATCATCTGACTCGAGTAGTTTCCCGTGGCTAACAGTGTTGTAGACCTCGGTACCGATGGTAAAAACGGAGGACTCGGAATCCGACTCGGAGTCTTCATCGGACGATTACGACTCGGACGACGCTGCAGCAGATCTCATTCGACAGACGAAGCGCGAAATGGCTTCGGAAAAGCGAGAGTCCAAGAAGAAAAGGGCAAGCATGGGTAACAGCACGCCAAACGGAACACCAACGCGGCAGAATGAGAACAGAAGCCTCAATGGCTTAACATCTATTTCGGGCGGTCGGCGATCGGGTGGCGGCGGAGGAGGCATTAGTGGAGGATCTGGTCGCATGAACAATGTGGATTGCTACAAATGTGGGGAGAAGGGGCATATAGCAGCAAACTGCTCCAACCCGTCAGCCCCACGGGGATCTGCGGGTAGAGGGAACGGCAAAGGCCGGAGATAGGAAGGGCGCGCGCGCTGGCTTGACATTTATACGCCTTGTACGGTTCAATGATACCCCGTGGAGACTTGGTCTTCTTCGATCGCGAGTGCGATCAGCCAACCTTTTGTCCGTTTTCCACAAGCATGTACTCGTCGCCAACCATCATCTTCATCTGGCTGTCGTCCATGAAGTTGTCGTGGTCGCCGTTCAAAGCAGCGCCTTCCTTGTCGTACATGAACTTGGCTAGTGCGAGATAGTCGGGGAAGACAAAGGTGCAGATGGCGTCATAATCCATCAACTTTGCGTTTCCCTGCATAATGTCCTGGATGGCCTTTCGGTCGCGCTCAAGATGGTACGTCTGTTGCGGTCTCAGCCTGGGCAATGCCGCAAACGCCGTGAGGGCAGAGTATATAGTAGAAGCGAAGCGCCTACAAGGCTGTAGCTGATGATTCCATGGCGCTGGAGGATGGGCACGGCCCTCTGCGCATGCTTATTGTTATAGTAGTCGATAAAGTCTTCGTCCGACATGCCCTGCTTCTTTTTGATGTAGATTGTTGCCTTTACGACCTTCTGGAAGCCCTCTGTGTTGGGATAGCCGGCCTGGAACGATTTGGGCACCATGTTGGCGCCAGACGAGAGGAAAGGTGGACGGGTAATTGCAGCAGCGCCGATAATAGGTGCATGGCCCGTCTTATCGACAATCTACGGCCCACTTGATCTCATGTTGAATCCCTTCCGGGGGCTCGGATCTCCGCCTTTGGTTGTCTACTCTTGTCGCGACATGCTCACTCCTCCGCATCCGCCCGCTGTTTTCTTTTTAGTCTCCCTCACCGCCCATTGCCTGCCTTGGGCGCACTAGCTCTTCTGGGTTGCTCGCGAGGTTACTGTTACAGCCATTGGAGCAGTACCGTGTTGACAACGCCTGTCCCCTTTACGCCTTCACAGCCATCGGCTGGCTCCACGGCAACTCTTGTGGATGCTCCGCTCTTTAGGCGCACGACAGTCTCTGGGAAATCTGTCGCTCGTACCACGACCCCAAACCGCCCCATATACACTACCCGCTGTCACATTGGTCGCGCGGTACACAGTACCGTCAGCAAATTGCCCAGCGTTGATCTCGCCCGCCACTAGTCTCCGCCAGCCACGCCGCATATATAACTCTCCCCTCCCCCAGACTGCCATCGCCGCGCCACCTGCGACCCAGCGAAGCCTCACAACCGCACCAAGAAAAAGGAATCGGTTAGCCAACATGGCTGGAGCATTGGAACGGGAGGCTGTTCGACAGAGAATCGAGGATCTCGAGAGGCCGCAGCTCGACGACCGCTCCTATCGAATCGTCACTCTACCAAACCAATTGGAAGTCCTTTTGATACACGAGGCGGAGACCGACAAGGCCAGTGCGGCGCTGGATGTCAATGTGGGCAGCTTCAGCGATGCGCCCGATATGCCAGGCATTGCTCATGCTGTAGAGCATCTGCTGTTCATGGGCACCGAGAAGTATCCAGAAGAGAATGCGTACAATCAGTACCTGACGCGCCACGGTGGCTATTCAAACGCCTTCACCGCCTCAACATCGACAAACTATTATTTCGAACTCTCCTACGCTGCCACATCGCCCACGGCCAGTAAGGCTGCGACACCAGAAGCATCATCGACAAACCTGTTGGAGTCGGCAGATGAGTCACCGCTACGAGGCGCATTGGATCGCTTTGGCCAATTCTTCATTAGTCCGCTGTTTCTCGAAGACACGGTGGATCGCGAGCTCAAGGCAGTGGATTCAGAGAATAAGAAAAACCTCCAAAATGACACTTGGCGCATGCACCAGCTCAACAAGGCGCTCGCCAATCCCAATCACCCCTACAACCACTTCTCCACAGGTAGTTACAAAACCCTACATGACGAACCCATAGCACGTGGCGTCAAGATTCGTGATGAGTTTATCAAGTTCCACTCGACGCACTACTCCGCCAACAGGATGAAGTTGGTAGTCTTGGGTAAGGAGAGTCTGGACACATTGGAATCATGGGTAGAAGAAATCTTTTCAAAGGTGCCAAACAAAAATCTTGGACAGAACCGCTGGGATGTACCTGTCTACACAGAGACAGAGCTTTTGACGCAAACCTTTGCTCGGCCAGTTCTCCAGTCTCGGTCGTTGGACCTTCAGTTTGCCTACCGCGACGAAGAGAACTTTTACGAGTCGCATCCATCAAGATACCTTAGTCATTTGCTCGGTCATGAAGGCCCTGGTAGCGTTCTTGCGCACCTCAAAGCGAAGGGTTGGGCAAACGGACTCGGCGCAGGAGGCTCGACTCTGTGTCCAGGGTCAGGGCTGTTCACTGTAAACATCAAGTTAACAGAGGATGGCCTGAAGAACTATAAAGACGTCGTCAAAACTGTCTTCCAATATATTGGTCTGATGCGCGATCAGCCACCCCAAGAGTGGGTAGTAGAAGAACTGATGCGCATCAGTGAGGTAGAGTTCCGCTTCAAGCAAAAGAGCCCACCAAGCCGGACTGCCAGCGGGCTGGCAGGTATCATGCAGAAGCCATATGACCGCAAGATGTTACTCAGTGGGCCAGCCGTTATCAGGAAGTTCGACGCCAATCTGATCAATGAAGCCATGTCATATCTGCGACCAGACAACTTCAGGTTGACCATCATTAGCCAAGATTTTCCAGGTGGTTGGGATCAAAAGGAGAAATGGTATGGGACGGAGTACAAGATTGAGAGAATACCAGGAGATTTCCTTGCAGAGATCAAAGAGGCTTTTGAAAGTAAGAGCCGACCAGCAGAGTTGCACTTCCCCCACAAGAATGAGTTTATACCAACTCGATTGGATGTTGAAAAGAAGGAGGTCGCACAGCCAAGCAAGGAACCAAAGCTTATTCGCCACGATGACAATGTCCGCATATGGTGGAAGAAGGACGATCAGTTTTGGGTGCCCAAAGCCAACGTTCACATCTACTTCCGAACACCAATGACCAACGTTACCGCACGCGTTACACTTTTGTGCACGCTCTATCGCGAGCTTGTGAACGATGCTCTGGTCGAGTATGCTTATGACGCTGATATTGCGGGGCTGGTGTATGATTTCACCAACCACATCAGTGGTTTGTCGATAACAGTTAGCGGCTACAATGACAAGTTGCACGTGCTACTGGAGAAGGTGTTGCTCCAGGTTCGGGATCTGGAAGTCACGGAGGATCGTTTCAATATCATCCATGATCGCATGCTACGGTCTCTACGCAACTGGGAGTACGGACAGCCTTTCCACCAGGTTGGCACTTACTCCAGACAGTTCAAGAGCGAAAAGTGTGTGATGAACGACGAGCTACTTCCAGAACTGGACAACATCACAGCTAAAGATGTGCAGCAGTTCTTCCCGCAGATCCTTGCCCAGTGCCAGATCGAGGTGCTTGCGCATGGCAACTTGTACAAGGAAGAAGCTTTGAGAATCACCGACCTTGTAGAAAGGACTATCCAGCCCAAGCGGCTGCCTGCGAACCAGATCCCCACCCGCCGAGGTCTGCTTTGGCCTTCGGGGTGCAATTTCATCTACGAAAAGCAATTGAGCGACCCGGCAAATGTCAACCACTGCATTGAGTACAACTTGTACGTTGGACATCACTATGACAACGTCACCCGTGCCAAACTATTGCTTCTTGGACAGATGACAGATGAGCCTTGCTTCAATCAACTTCGTACCATTGAACAACTTGGTTATGTCGTCTTTTCTGGGTCCAGCTTCCACGACGTCTGGTCTGGATACCGCATTTTGATTCAGAGTGAGAAGGACTGTCGATACTTGGAGGGCCGCATTGAAAACTTCCTCAATACTTTTGAGGGAACGCTTGCTGCAATGAGCGAAGAAGACTTTGAGAGCCACAAGCGAGCCATGATCAACAAGCGCTTGGCGAAGCTCAAGAATCTTTCATCAGAAGACAACAGGTTCTGGAATCATATCTACAGTGACTCGTATGATTTCCTACAAGGTATGTCTGTCCATAGTCCTAACAGTGTTACGGTGCTAACAAACACACAGCCGACGTTGACGCTGAGAACCTTGAAAAGCTCTCAAAGAAGGACATGATTGAATTCTATGGCCGATATGTCTCGACGTCATCTTCACAGCGTTCCAAGCTGTCAGTGCACCTCCAAGCACAAGCCAAGGCCAAGGAGCCATCGATCGAGGAAAAGAAGACTTCTGCTGCTGCTTCGCTTCAGATCATTCTCACCGAACACAAACTCAAGTTTGATGATGCGGCTTTCCAGACTCGCGTGGCCGATGCATCGTCCATTGACGATATCTCAAAGGCTGTGACTCGTTATCTGAGCGAAGACATCAAGGTGGAGGGTGATGTTGCAACCAAGGTGCTAGATGAAGCAAAGGCTGCCCTCGGTGTCGCCGACTCTGGCTTGCCAGCAGCACCACAAACACTAGATGCGGCTGCGGATGTAGAGAGTGTGGTTGATGCGTCGCATCCTGTGCTCATCAAGGATGTGCATGCGTGGAAGGCGAGCATGCAGATCAGTACCGGCGTACGGCCAGTGCGGAATCTGGATGAATTCGTTGATGTTGTAGAGAAGCTCTGAGGATGATATCAAATCCTCAGATGTTCGAAGCAGTCGCATGCAATAGAATAGTAGTGTAGACAAATGGGTCGGCAACCTGTCCATCGCAGCGTAATAGCAAACATATTAACGACAGTTTTATGCACAACCTATGTCATTGCATGTGCATTCTGCTCTGCAAGGGCCTCGTGACCATGTGCTGATATTAGAATGATCAAGGGACAAGGCTCCACATTTGCTGCATGGCAGAGGCGCGATGAACGAGGCTCGGCCCGCTTGACTGCCGACGACTTCGTCATACACAACGGAACACCCATACCCACCCAGCATGGAACTGCAGCACCCTCTACCGCGCAAAAGAAAACTCGAACCTGCGGGGTGGAGGCTGAAGTGAAGAGAAATATCAAAACTCAAAAGAGGCGGAAGCACTGGCGACAACCATGCTACGAAGAAGCCTCCTTCGAGCAACTGCACGTCATCAACCTCACTACACGCGCAACCCAACTCTCCGCCGCTACGCCACAGACCCCGTATCGCCCATCACGGCGCCAACATCCCAATCGCGAATCGACCGCTTCAACCGGCGCCTACCCAAGTTCCTGCACAAATACACGAATGCCCTCGGCAACGCGCCCGTCACACACATAACCTCGTTCCTCATCCTCCACGAACTCACCGCTGTAATCCCCCTCTTCGGCCTCGCAGGCTACTTCCACTACACGCACTGGCTACCACCCTGGATCGCAGAAGGCGCATGGATCGCATCGGGCGTGGAGCGCTTCGGTCGGTATTTCAAGCGTAAAGGTTGGATCCGTGGCGAGGAGGCGCTGGAGGCGGAGCGCGAGGTGGACGATATGCAGAAGAAGCAGAAGTTGCGGACGGTGGATCAGGCGTGGAATGTGGGTGAGGGGGGTGTTAGGCTAGTGGTGGAGTTTGCGACGGCGTATGCGGTTGTTAAGATGTTTTTGGTGCCCAGGATTGTGTTTAGTGTGTGGGCTACACCCGCGTTTGCGAGGTGGACGGTTGCGCCTGTGCTGAGTAGGTTTAGGAGGATGTTTGGGAGGAGGAAGGGTGTGGAGGGTAAGACGGCTGGGGCAGGGACGGGTGCTGTAGGAGGGGGTGCTGTGCCGAAGAGTGGGGTAAGGAAGAATTGATGGTGTTGTGGAATCTTGCTGAAGATATCTGAGGCTAATTGATGCTGTTGGAATCGGGGGTGAAGTCTGGATTCCCCTTTCATCCCTGTACAAACGCCTTGGGTCAAGGTTTGCTTCGCTTTCATCAACTCCCAAATCCGTCTTACTTTCTTTATCGTCAGTCCAATCCAATTCGGATTTGCTTTACCCCACACCCTCAACACCATGTGCTTCGACGGCAACGGCGACGAATATGAGTACGAAACTAGGGTTGAGGTCCGGAACGGCGAGCGCCATTTAGTCAACACCTACTACCCACGCCATGGCATGTCCCGCCGCCGTAAGTACGGATTTGGCGGCTCTTACTACCCTTCGCGATACTATGCTCGCCCGCCTCCAGGCCACTACACAAACAGGGAGTACGCCTATCTGGATCGCTACCCGAATGTACCGCTGCCTCAAGACTTTGTCAGAGATGTGTATCCCAGATCCTACTCTGTACATGGGTACGGAATGGGATATCGTATTGGAGCTCGCGCTGCTATGCCGAGGCGTTACTCAATGGTAGGTTTCTTCCACTTCCCCCTTCCACTGATTGCGTTGCCTTCTGCCTTTTCTTCCTCACACCGCTGCTTTTCTCCATTACCATTGGTTTGCATGAGGCACTACAAGCTGCGGCCTTCGAGTCCTGGCGCGCGGCTTTGCTCTTGAGTTCCGTTTGTCAGGCGGGTGTCTCACATGGGCCTTCACCTTGACTCTTTCCTTGCTTCGCTACACTGCAATTCCTTGATTGCCACCTATCCCACTTCCTCACCTCAGCACCATCGCAACCTCCAAGGCCTCAATCACTTCCCAAATTCTCACGCAAACCGCCGCCACGATGGAGGCGTACCCCAAACCTCGCCACCAGTACATTTACACCCCTCGCTACGGGCAACGCGGCATCCTCAGCTACGCGGGTCAAGCCCCCAATGGCGCCGCACCCACAGGCGTGATTGGCGGCGCCTATGCCTACGGAGTTGGCTACCCAGCAGCCGCAGCCTGTCAACCTGTGGTATACAACACTCGTCCCTTCTACGGCTCCACCTACCTCTACCCCTACTACAACCCTTGCTACACCTACTACAACTCCTACCTCTACGGCTCCCTATATCCCCTTGCTAACTTCTACTTCCCCTACCAGCGGTCCTACTACAACACCGTGCCCGCCTACGGCCACACAGCACACGTCTATCCCCCGGGCCATGCTACAACAACAACTACTACCTACCACGTAACCAACACCCAAGCCCCCCTGTACACCTCACCCACCGCCCAAATCCTGCGTGAAACCCGGCCAGCATATGTTCACGGCCACGCTTACACACTGCAAGCCCCAACCCGTGAGGAGATTCAGATTGAGAATCGCCGCATTGCCACGCAGCGTGGTGCGTATGATGCGCGTAAGATTCGGCCGGCGGATGCGCGCGACGACGACCCGTTCTGGTGCCGCGAGGTCAATGGCGAGTGGCATCTGCGATCATATTATCAGATTGAGAATGAGTGTCATCCGGGACGGTGGATGATGGATGCTGAGATTGGGTTTTTGGTGTTTCATCGGGCATAGATGAGGGCTCCAGTGAGTGTGGTGTGGAGGTTATTCGAGGGGGCGACTCAGATTATATGGAGTGGGGATGAGGAGAGACGGTGGATGCTTTGTGTTCTGGTTTTTTTGATTTATGGGATACCCTTCTTTTTTTGGGGTGTTCAGCCAGGTCGACGATGCTGATTTGGCAGATTGGCGTTTGGAATCTTGTCATCTTTGCAGGCGGATGTGAATTCGCTAGGATACAGTCTGATTGCCCTGCTGATCACGAAGTAGTAATGAAGTGAGGAATTGGATGAGAGTTTACAGGAATCACAATGATGAATTCGATTGAAGTTGTTACTTAAAAGTTTCTTTGCCATCTCTGTTCACTATACGTGGACAAAACTGAAGACATGTACATTAACACGTCATTTCGGAATTATAAATGAAAATACAACGATGGCCATCGGATACTGCAGCAACGGTACAACCACCTGCCCTCGTGCAATATCTTCAATTCCCCCTATTACCATTATCATATTCAACAAAAACGCATTCCTCCCACATCATACCACCTCCTTTTCCTCATACTATAAAATTAGCATCCCACATCCAACCATCGCAAAACGCTTAATATACATCATCGCATCGTCCCAGCATATCAATCCGCAAGCAAAACCCCAACGTCCAAATAAACCACTTGATCAACTCAATCTTTAATGCCAACACCACGACGCAGACCCCTAACAATTCTCCGAAAGACCAAAAAGAAAGAAAGAAAGAAAGAAAGAAAGAAAGAGGGATTTTACGTGAATAGCAGTGTTGACATACGTTGGTGCTACATATCGGCCCTTCAACTGAGCAGGTGGGTAGCGAGGTGACGGGAAGTTTACATCGAGGATGTGAAAACGGGGCCTGTAGATTAAGACAAATTCCGATAAGGAAAAGGATAATTTATCTGACGTTACACTGATTATTGTGTGTGAAGTATCGATTCAGCTCGAAAGAGCAAGATGTAAGGGTACTTGATATCCTCTGTATAAACCTTGCAGAGTCTAGAATTTGTGTGAGATGGAAATTGTGGGATTGAATATTGGGATGTGCAGTGTTATTTTGGCAGCGAGGCTGTCGACGGTCGTTGGAGTGAGTGATTGGAGATGGATGAGTTTTTCAGGTAGATGATGGTTGCCGATATTTCTGTATTCGAAAGAGATGTTTGTTCAGGTTGGGGGTTGCAAGTGCGAGCTTGAGCGTCGAGCCCGGTTTGGTAGTTGTTATGGGTTGTCCCGTTGATACATCTACTTGTTGTGAGCGTGGTGGCACTGACTGATATCTGTCGGGGGTGTTGTGTATTTGGTCTGCTGTTTTAAATCGAATAGTTGCGTTCTTAAGATGGACAGGAAGAGGGGAAATTGTCTTTGCTGTGTACAAATGATGGTATCCAGGGTTCAAGGAATATGCCATTACGAATAGAGCATCTAGCATCTTCCAAGAATATTTAACTCTCCTGTCTCGTCTTCATCTATCTGGAGTATACTTCAAAGAGAACCGGTGGCTCCAAATCAGTGGCAGTACTAATGGATTCATCCTGGTCTCCTTTTCTATTAAAGCTGTAGTAGCTGTTCCCGGGGCTCCTGGGCAAGTGGGTGTTGCTTAGTACGGAATAGAAATACCGAGTAAATCAGATGCTGATACGTGATGAAGAAGATTCACAAATCCAATAAAATGCTTTGTTGGGGTTCTAATCGGCAATAGTTCCCCGATATTGAGAGCTAAGGCTTTCAGGTTCAGAGATGCACCTTGATTCCCGAACTGTTGGATGATTCTAACAACCAACAGACAAATTGAATGTCTAGAATGCATGAGAATGGCTGGTAATGGTCACTAATTTGCAATTGATGAATTTATCGCAGGTTTAGCTCTTTGCGCGGTAGGTGCGTAGGCATGCGAATCTGTTTGTGTTGGCATTGCTATGTATGCACTGTGAAGAACTGAACAAGCGTACTACTTCGAGCACACAAATTGTTCCAACTATGATATCTAGTACAAGAGTAGAACTGGAGGATCCCAGAAATTACAGCTGAGGGTGAAAGGTTCCGCATATATTTTCCTAATAGTGGATACGAATATATTGGTATGTGTCGTGTACATAGTTGTCACGTCTAACCAACCCCTGTATCAAGTTGGTATCTGTAAACAGTGTAAGTGAGTTCCATTCACCAGGTATCAATGTAGTATTCAGAAGACAACAGTTCCATAAGAAAGTTTTCTACATGTCGAAGCTTCATATTTGATATGTCTTCGACATGCAAAGAAGAAATTGTCTGCTGGCTAAGTTGGGAATCCAAAAAACATTACAAGGCTATTAATCAAATATGAAAGATAAAAATAACAAAAAAACAGGCAGAAAAAAAAGAATGATTGTTACAATGATACGCAGGACCTTTCATGTACCATTTCACTTATTTCCCCAACCCCGCTACAGTCTCGCCCTGACGTCACAAGCACCCCCACATTTCTCGCAGCTCACCTCCGAACCCTCCACCCGACAGACTTTAGCTCAGATGCCGCAGCAGCAACAACAACGACAACCCCACTCAACCGGCTCGCACCTAACCACCTTCCTCTTCGTCTCCATATTCGTCATATCGCTGTTCCCCGGAATCTTCGTCTCCATCTTCTGGGCGCCATACAACAGTCTCGCAAATTACTTTGTCCCCACACCCGCACCGCGCAAAAGCGTCGTCTGTACCAGTCCGAACATCTGTACTTCGCCGCCCATAATGTCTTGGTAAGTTCACCAACCCCCAATTGATATCAGTACATTAAAACTAACACCGCTCAGGTCGCAAAAATCCCTTACACTACCCTCGCGCTCCCGCGGCTGCTACCTAATCACCGACCACATCCTCAAAGAGGTCCCGGAAATCAAGCAGTACAAGACGGGTCTCCTCAATCTCTTCATCCAACACACATCCTGCGCCCTCTCATTAAACGAGAACTTTGACGAGGATGTGCGCGCGGATATGGGCACAGCGCTCGATCGCATTGTGCCAGAGGACAAGAAGAACCAAGGGCTTTATTTGCATGATGCGGAGGGAAGCGATGATATGCCGGCTCATGTCAAATCTGCGCTGATTGGCGCAAGTGTTACCATTCCGATTACGAATGGGAGACTGAACACGGGAACGTGGCAGGGTATCTGGTATTTAGAGTTCCGCGACTCGAAGCATACGCGCAAAGTGGTGGCTACGATTCAGGGAGAGAAGATGTAGAGAGGGGCTGGGTGATATGATATCCATGGTTAGATTCTAAGCAATATATTTTGAACTGTGACAATCCAAATTCGTAGAATTCAGCAATTACTGATCAAGTGCGCAACATGTTTGTAGTTTAAGTGCCCTATCTCAGTGTCACCCCTTAGCTGATCAGTTTTCCGAAATCAGTGTTAATATAGAATGGTCAAGGTCATGTGTCATTCACGCAGAATCAGTGGTAGGCCTGTTTACAGGACTCTTAATTGAAGCACATATATACACCCTCGCAAGACTTAGAAAGGATTTACCGCTGTGACAGCGGCTCATCGGTGACCTTCTGTGCCTCGTTGACTTCCGCCGCATTGCCCTTGGGTCCCAGTGGGTATGAAAGCTCGTGCTCGGGGGTAGCTTCGAGGACAGCGCGGTGCTTCTCGTGAGCCTGTGTAGTGTTAGCAACTATTCTGTCAAGCCCAAATCTGCCAATACTCTGCAATCCGAGAATTCCAATTTGAATTAAAAAGTTTAGTACGTACAAAGGGTACACCACAGTATGTGCACCAGCAGATCTGGGGCTTATCTGTGTTGATAAAGATCCGGGGGTGTCCGAGAGGACCTCCTCCTCCGTCACATGATACGACACGGTCGTGTGTCCAGCGGACAGGTTGCTGGTGGATGAGCTCAATGGCAGCATATGGGCGTGGCTGAAAAGTCCCTGTTAGCAATTGTTTCGTTGTTCTCGTTCTTCCCACTAGCAACCGCTTGTTCCCTGCCTCAGAACAGCACAACGCCCAATCTTCATATCCCCATCACAACTCCCAGCAGAGCCAAGACATACCTGATCCGCAATGATGGTCTGCTCAAATCTCGGCCCGCTCATTGCAACTGCCCTCGGGTTTTGACTCCTCGACCAGATGCCCTTGTAGTTGGGCGCCTGTGTAGTCCTCAACTCCTCGGCATCCTGCACAGACTCCTGGAGAACCTGGTCGAACGAGCCCTCAGAAGAGGTGGCCATTTCATTGGTTGCTGAGACATTCGGCTTCGCGTCGCGCTTGACGGGGTCGTTGGCGGGGACCTGGTTGCTGGTTGTAGCCGTCGAGACATAGCGGGCAAAGGGGCGGGAGGCGGCCGCTGCGCTGCAGGAGCGCAGAGCGCGAAGGGTGACGGGGAGCATCTTGGGCGAGGTGTTGGTGCAGACGGGCTGCGCAATTGCTGGGCGAAGATGCGGGTTGAGTGGTTGAAGTTGAGCTTCTGAGCATTCGCGCTATACGTGACTTACATAAGCAGAGGTACTAACGTCAAGGATCAGTAAGTGGGCCGGATCAGTTAGTGGGCCACCCCACCCAACCTGATCCAACGCTCTTCACAACCACCACTATGCCGCGACAACAACGCTCTATACAGACTTCTTGTGAAGGTAGAATAAGTCTCGCTATGGCATCTTATCGTAAGAATCCAAAACAATCAGTGCGCGCCCTCGCAGTAGCGTATGACGTGCCAAAGTCAACGCTCCAACGACGTCTT